CCCCCTCCCCGGCCGGCGGCCGTGACCCTGGCAGCGCCGGCCTAGCGCCCGGCCGCCTGCAGCGCGACCCCTGGCGGCTGGGAGGGCCCCCTGCACCCGGACCGCTTCCCACCACCAAGCCGATTCCGCAGGACATACCCCGGGGGGCCCCTGAAGTCCAAGGCGCTCTCCTGTTTAGCCCTGGGTCCTACAGTCAAAAGATGTCGTGTGCATGTCTGGGAAAGGGCGAAAGTCCCGAAGGTCTAGGCTGCGAAGACCCAGGTGGCTTCCCCCAGTTCGAGATTTAGAGGCAAAGTGCATTCCCTTGGAGCCAGAAGCTCTCAGTTCTCTTTTCTGAAAATGAAAAGAGCTTTGGAAAGAGGAAGAGGAGAGGTCCGCACTGCATGGTGTGGGACAGAGTGGTGGAGGTGAGCATAAGTGAAGAGAGGAATGCTCTTCTCACTGTGTTGGGTGGGGAAGAGAGGAGAGGACAATGGTCAGAGGGCCAGCAGCCCGAGCCAGAATGAGGAAACTTTCAGAACGTGGTTGGTACTTAAGCATCTGCTGAATTAAAACACCAATGAATGAGTGGAGAAGTCGGGAGGGTGCGGTGAAGTCATGCACAGTGAGGAGACAGGAGTGAGGCTTCCCTGAGACCTAGGCCCGTGGAGCCAGAGGCTGGCCATGTACCACTGTCCAAGTCCTCTAGGCTTAAAGGGCTGTGGAAGAAGAGGGAGCCAGCCCGAGCCTTACCCAGAGTCTGCAGATGTTAAACCCCCTCTCCTTGGCAGCCTTAGCACTGAGGCCAGTTACCCCCAGGGGAACTGGGGTCATTTCACCTGAAACATCAGACCCAGGAGCTCAGCCAGCAGATGCCTCCTCACCCCGAACTTCTGCCAGGCCTCGGGGGTGAGGAAAAGCAGTAACTCGTCTGGCCAGTCAGAGCCCCCGTCCCCTAATGCTGCAGAAGGGCCCTGGACAGAGAAGAGGGCACAGGGGGTGACTTCCTGCTGCCTGCCAGGACAGCCTCCATCCAGCCTGGGCCCCCATGTCCAACGCCAGGCACAAATCCTGAGGCTGGGCCGGCTTTCCACAGAGCACAACAGTGCCGAGAAGATGCAAAAACCACAGCAGGTGAAAGGGGCTATGCCCCAAGAACTTTCTGGATCCCCAGCCCCACCCTAAACAGCAGTCAAGCACAGAAAGGGTTTGATATGATTTTTTTATTAACATATAATATATTTAATAAAAAATAATATCCACTCTGGCTCTCTCCTCCATTGCAAGGGGAAGAGTGGCGAGGAGGGGCTGGCACTGCCCACCCCCAGGCATCCGGACAAGCCCTGCCTCCGGGGCTCCCCTCTACCCCCTGCTTCCCAACAGGCTCTGACCTCCAGACAGACGCTTCAAAGTTACAAGTGCTTTAGGTCCTCCCTTGAACTCCCCCAGGCCCACCCCTAGTGCAGAATTCAGGGGCCACCTGGACAAAACCCCTTGCTTTCTCTCATTCTTGGGATCCCTCATTCACGTTAGAAAGAGGATCTGGGGGCAGAGAGTGGAGTCCCTACTGGCCAGGGGGAAGGGAGGAGAGGGACAGTGATGGGGGTGGGGCCGAGAAGGGGGGTGGTGAGGGGGTGCCCTCACTGTAGCCGATCACTGCGGAACGAATCCTCCACAGCAGGATCGGGCAGCAGGGCACAGGGGTCACTCAGCATGTTTAGCCCTTCCAGGCCCAGCGGCTCCATGTGCAGCTCATCCTCCAGCCCCAGTCCCAGCTCCAACCCTTTGGACACCTCAAAGCCAGGCACTCCAGCCAGGGCTGCTGCAATCTCCTTTGAGAAACCTGGGGAAGAGTCTCCTGGGCGGATAGAGGAAACGGGTGAGGGCCCTGTGCCCTACAAACTCTTCCAGGACGCCTCGGGCTCCTACCATACCAGCCCTCCCTCCACCTCATGCCATCCACACGCCCCTCACCTGGGAGGATGATGTTAGGCCCTGAGCCGTGGCGGGAACAGTGGGCCAAGTTCTGGTGGTTGAGGGCGTGGGGGTCCTGGAGGCCGCCCACTGGCCCCTCGCCCCCTAAAACTCCAGGCCCTTCGGAAAACTCAGAGGGATCCAGCACCAGGCTGGTCGACGGGTCTTCCATTCTGAACTGCTCCAGCTAGGAACACACAGACAGAAGTGAAGGAGTGGGCTTCGGAGCAGGGTGTTCCTGCTTGTCTTGCCCGGTCCTGCTAACACAGCCCCTCTGCCGGGCAATCTCCCTGCCCCCAAGGGATGGAGGCAGAGACAGAGAAACAGCAGTGAGCATGGGGAGAGCACGCCGGCATGTGTGCGTGCACGCACGCCAGGAAAGGGGCAGGTCTAGGCACTGGCCATCAAACAGCAGGCTGAGGAGCAACACTAGGTAGAAAGGGCCAGAGCGGGAGAGGCCAGTGTGGGAAGACAGAAGCCCCAGGCCAGAAGTGCTATGTTATCTGGGGGGATCTCCCCTATCCCAGATTTCCCAACTCCGAATATACCAGAGCCACCCCTCAGTTCCCCCCCCCCCGTCTGCCCCTCCCCCGATTCTCAGCCAGGGGCCTGGGCACTCACAGTCCCGGGGCTGAAGTCGTTCGCTGGCCGGTGGTAAGGCTGCTGCCAATGCCCACTAGAGCCGGGTGGGCACAGTGTCCCATAGTGGGGTTGCCTTCCTGGGGGCTGCCCGCCCGGGGGCTGCACTGAGCACACCTCAGAGGGCAGCCCTGGCTGCTGCAGAGGCTTTGGGGTGGGCTGCTGGGTGGGCAGAACCAGACTGGGGGCGCTGTATGGGTACGGGGGCAGTCGCTGGTCGGTGGGCAGTTTACTGGTGTCCAGGGGGACGCCCTGAAGAGAAGGAAAAACGGGGAAGCTTACCCCTCAGGGTACCCCCCAAGAGTTAGGGCTCTCCAGTCTCTTAAGCTAGAACCGTTCTCAGCGCAAACATGATAACACTCCGAGCGTCTCTGGGGTTGGGTGCGGTCACTCAAAAATGCATATCAGGATGAAAGTAACTAAGCTGATAATTCTGAATCCACTCCAGAAGTAAATGACTCCTAAACTTTGATACTTTAACTACTGTTAGTAATCAAGTACTTGGGACACCTCCTGAGGGATGGAGAAGACAGCAG